GGAGGAAAGTCACATTACAGATCTGAACCTGTCAAAGAAGAGAATTACCTCCAGCAAAATATGATTCATGAGCTGCTCAGAAGTTAATAACTGGGTGACGGGAGGAAAGTCACATTATAAATCTGAACCTGTCAAAGAAGAGAATTACCTCCAGCAAAATATGATTCATGAGCTGCTCAGATGAACCTACACGTTAGTCACTCAAAGTTCATTTCAGTATAAACAGTAAAATACATTTAAAACTGAACCTATTGTTCAGGCAAGTAGCTTCCACTTACTTGCTTACAGCAACTTCTGGTCACATCCACTCACTTTGTGTTTTAATTCCAATCTGAACAAAGTATCTGGCATAACATGGACTTTAAGCTTAAACAGTGTACATACCAGTGTTAACAAACAAAGTTTGTACAGCACTTGCCTAGCATGCGATAGGTCTCGGATTCAAATCTGAGGCAAGAAAGATATTATATAAAATACATAATTACCATAGTATACTGCTGGTTAAAAGGAGTTAGAAAAAAATAAAATACAAAAAAAATCTCATTGGTGGAAAGATCTTTATATAGTATTCAACTATCTAATTATTATGAAGATAGGGATAAGTTTTGTACTGTTTCTATCATGTTTGTTTACTAATATTTTTATGTCATTGTTTACTAGAGTATGAATTTTTCCAAAGTGTTAGAGAATGCGTATTATTCCAAACAAATTATTCTGTATTACCTTTTCAATAAATTTCATCCACATACCCCACATGTACAAATTTTATAAACATCCAATTTTTTTATTAATTCTATCACTGGAGCAGTTGCTTTACCTATATACATGTTTGGTATTCTCCATTTACCCCAATTTCCCTCCCTCAGAGCAGTCTGATGGAGCCCCCCCCAAAAAAACAGGAGGATTCATCAGATACTATGTTACAGAGCAGCGACTGAATTTTCTGTCTTTTACAGAATATTTACACAAAAGAAAGGGACTGAACACAGGGTGTAAACAATCACAAGCTTTATTATACAAAAACGAAATTAAAGCTAAATACACAAATAAGTGTTTGTGATGTGTATCAACTGGATAGAGAGAAAGCACTCCGTTAATCTCTACCGATCCATTTCAAGCTATATTTATAGAAATTGAAGCTGTGACAACACAGTCTCTCATAATGCAGTCTGAATCTGACTTCCTATCTAAACTTAAAGTCTTTAAAATCTTTATGTGTTTTAATTCTATAAATGCTTGAAATCTCTGCAGATCTTCTTATGCTGTTGAAAATATCCAATCTGGCAAACAAAGGAAAACATTATATTATATTCAAAGTTTTCTCCCCAGGTGCATGCACTATCTTAGTAGCTGAGGGTCACCATCATATCAATCAAATGAAGGTGATGCCATCTGGTAATCCCGTGGCATATCACTAGAATAGACCCCTGCTTGTATTTATATTACAGTTTAAACTACAGTGATCTCTTCTAAAGGAAAAAAATACTGTGACAACTTTAGTAATTCTGGCAGTTCTATGAATAGGCAAGACGAGAGAAACTTCACAACTCCCTTGATCAATGTTCTATACTAAAATCAGATCTGAAACAATGAAAATTTGAAAAACTGCAGCCAGCCAAGGAGGTGAAAATGCATGACATGCTCACACGTTATACGAGCCACTTATGAAAGTACTACGAACTTTTAAAACTTGCGTTTCTTTTGAGTTTTCATTAATGAACTGATATTACAAATCTAACAACATTCAAAACATTCGAGTATTTTTGGTAGTTTAAATGTAGAGGATGATTTAGTGAAATTTTGTTAAGATAAGTGTAGATCTCGGTGGGTACACTAATGGAAAACAGCAATCCTAATAAAGACTTTTTACACGATAGTAGTAAGTTAGTGCTCCATTCTGGTGATAAAGGTAAAATTAAAATGCTTTTCTTAAAACTACACATTAATGCATACATTTGAACGTATATTATAGAAACTCTGACAGGTATAGTTTTATTTAACACTCCTTTTCAGTCTTTCAAATGTACTTACCCTAAGAACTTTTAGAGCTTCTTCACAAATCTGCATTCCTCTTGATTCAAGTACCTCTACACAGCCCAAGTACTAAACAAATTTAAAGAAAGATTCCTACTTAATTAATCATGATGTTTTCTTTATAAATGTTGGTAATGTTTATTATAATTTGCTAAAAACTGATATGTAAAGTCTATATAATATGTTTACAGATCAAGTTATAAAAAGATTCGCACTATTTATACCAATTGTGTTGTGCCTTTCATAGCTATAACCTAAACTTAAGAATACAACTATTTTTTTTATTTCAAAATTACTTAAATGTGAATATTCACCAACCTGATCAGTTATGTTTATTTCAAGAACATTAATTACACCAAACTGCTCTGTTATGTTTATTTCTAGAACATTAATTACATCAAACTGCTCTGTTATGTTTATTTCTAGAACATTAATTACACCAAACTGCTCTGTTATGTTTATTTCTAAAATACATTAAACTAATCAGTTATGTTTCTTTCTAGAACATTAATGATGTCAAATTGATCTATTATAATTGTATCTAGAACATTAATAATGTCAAATTGATCTATTGTAATTCTATCTAGAACATTAATGATGTCAAATTGATCTATTATAATTGTATCTAGAATGTAAATTACCTCAAACTGCTGCTTTCTCATTTAAAAACTATAAACATAATTTTAATGGTTTCAATAAGCCTATCAAAGAACATGTAACAACACATTTAAAATACTTTATTAAATATTATCCTTTAGAAACACCTGTATGAGCCCTAAAAACTGTGGCTTATATCTTTTGATGATTGAAAAATATTTACATTTCTTTCAAAAGAATTCCATCAATGCTAGGATTTCATACAGCAATAACAAGAGTGCGAGAGTGAAACTTGTTTCTTATAGCAAAGCCACAACAGGCTGTCTGCTGTGTCCACCGAGGGGAATCGAACCACTGATTTTAGCTTTGTAAATCTGAAGACTTACCACTGTCCCACCTGGGGACTTTTTCTTAATTAGACAAAGTATAGAAATTATTTGTTATTAAAATAGTTTGTACACAAGAACTGGTACTGAAATTAGAAAAAATATAAAACTTGAAGAAAATTAAAATTTGTTTTAAACACAAAATTTCTAAACTTTGTAAGTGTGCATTTATGAAACTAATGTAACTTCTTCAAAATACTTTTCTTCAAACCCATTATAACGTTCATAGATGTAAACATTTCTACTTTACTTAGATAACCGAGTAATGCCAGAAATGTTTCAAATAAAAATAAGGTGTTTATGATAATCATCTAAAAACTTCATTTTTATCCCAATAAACCCTTTCAGTAATTTTTGAATTTATTTACTTGTACATCATGATGACTGTTATACCCTTGTAATTTTAAGTTTGATCTATATGTTCAATAGGTAAATTTTTTATAGCAAAATCTTACTTACTTTTACATCAAAGTTACAAGTTGCGGCTCTCACTGCGGCCTCGTCTGCCTGCCACTGATGAGGTCGACTACATTCTGGAACATGAGTTTTCTTTCTACGAAAACTTTCTCGGAGGCTCCGTCTTAAGCGGTTCATGACTAAATGAAAGGAAACAATAAAGTCAGATGCTCTAACTCAGGTTTATTGGTAAATAATGAATTAGTAGCAAAGAAACAAAAATAAAACCATTAAAGCAACTTCAAAGTATTAAAATGTTTAGTAGCATAATAGCCACATGGTGGTACCCAAAAAATGTGTATATCATCATTTTCATTTAGACTGTTCAAAAACCCCATTCAATAAGATGATGAAACACTACCTTCTCTTACAAACAATAATAAAAGGATAAACAATTAGTTTCATTTATAAAAAGCATTTTTTCTCTCACTTTGTTGAAGAACTTTAAATATATAGGAAGAGAAATTTGTCGAGATATTAAAGATATAAACTAATAACCTATATACATGTAAAGAACTATTTACTTTGGCATACTCAGTGAGCCTTTATTTTTTGTAGAAGGGGAAGGTCGCAGTGGCCAAGGAAGATGAAAGGTTAAAAACTGCCCTATTGGTATGTCGACCCTTTTGTTCTAGTAGCAAGAATATTTTTGTTCCCACATTGGGTAAGATTAGAATCATAGGAGGTTCCAGAAGTGACATCCCTTGGGATAGTCCGTGACAAATACATAACCTTTTACCTACCTGATAATTTTCCTTTGTTGCTTAAAATATAAAGGTCATGTAACAAATATATAACTATATTTGTAAATAATAATTTACTATTTTTGTTCCAGCTTATGAAAGTTATTCATAATCTCTTACCCCTTTAATTCAAACTACGGCTGCTATTTTTAAAATTTCAAAGTTAACTACATTTTTTGAAGCATGTGAAACCCCCCCTCCCCCACACACACACGTTTTTAACAAAGTCTTTTGACATCACTTTTCACAATTGATAATCCCAATACTCAGATTAGGTTTTTCATCCACAATGACACAGTTCAGTTTATATTTCATTTAAAGGCACAATGCACATCAGAGGGTAATGGTTTGAAAAAAGTCAAATTATTCATTGCAAATTCAGGAAGATGGGTGCAATATTTATGGATGTTCTTTCACTAATATGTGGTGAGAAATAGTAATTATAAAGACTTGATTAACTTTTAATTATTAAATTAATGAAAAATTAATTGTTTGTAATGTTGCTGTTATTCCTTTAAACCTCTACATGAAATGCCAACAATGCTGAGTCTAATTATCAATCCCCAGGGGTTCAAGTAAAAAATAAAAATTGCAAATTGAATTTGATCTTACACAAGTGCTTTTGAGGATAAAAAGTTGTTACAAAAAAGTGACGTAACAAATATGTGCTTGCAGATAGATTCATAATTACAGTGTATAATCTAAATGAACTCCAGCATCCATTTGCATGGTTTGATTAAGACTGTGACTATCAGTAAATGTAAGACAATTCAGAGTGACCTAAATAAATTTCTTGTTCCGTCTACTGAAGTCAGAGAAAACCATGTGAGCAAGGTGAAGCTCCTTTTCCAACAGCTGGACACTTAGGTGTTTTGAAGACACTTTAGATAGTAATAAAAAACTTCTACTGGATTGGATGCCATAAACCTGTGGTGTTCAACTGTGCCGTGAATGGAAAGGTCAACAAACAAAACAACATGAGCAAATACAGCAGAAATGTCTTGAGAGAGATATCGTCAATTTATCCAATCTTATATCAAAGAACAAAAGTGGAAATGATTACATCTTGATGGTAATGAACAATTTCATCAAATTCCCAGAAGCATATGTTGTTCCTAGCCGGGAAGCATACATTCTAGCAAGGAAACTTGTCAATGAATTTGTTTCAACATATTTGGGGTACCTATATTCCTTCACTAAGGTCACAGATAAAATGCAATAAAGCAGTCTTATTTGCAGGTATGTGTCAAATACTTGAAATCAAAAATACCAAGAATACAGCTCATTATCGTTGTTCTGACATAAAGTTAGAGATACAACAAAATACTTTAATTTTTTTTTCTTGGTCTTCTTTCAATTTTTGATCTCACCTGGAACATATTTAAATTTGAAGTTCTGGTTTTATTTTATTTTTACCAAAATAGTCCCACTTTTGACACCAATGTTGTAATGGTTTCTATTATTGAGTGTGGTTTTCTGGATTATTCAATAGCAAAATAATGCAAAGCCCAGTCCACTTAATAATAACAAAAACATTTATTTGACTACAAGCTCTACAACTTACACAGTTTTAAAAGCTAATGCTAATTAATGCTAATAATACACTTACTTGTTAACTTTTCATATGTATTGTATTTCTTGTATCTCTAGTACTTCATTGAAAAACATACTCAATATTGATAAAACTTGAATTACAGATTACTGACAAACAAACTTGATAACTTCATAAACAACTACTGTTTTAAAACAGATTCACTAAAACTAATCAACATACTTTTGTGTTATTAAGGTCCACTGATAACCAACAAATAAGCCCAAAAATATCTATAAATTGCAGATTCCATAGATTTTTACACAAAAGAATAAATCAAACACAGACAGTAAAGAAAAGAAACATGGAAACAAAGGTGAACAAATAAACAAAATATTTAGTCACTATTATTGTGGCTGGCCTCTAACTCTGTTGTGGCTTTAACTGGTTGTTGTGTTTGAATTAAGTCTTTCCTAAATTTTCAAAAAAATCATACCCATTACACCTGATGCTCATCATGAGACATAAATAGTCCCTCTAGCAAAAAGAAAACAATAAAAACATTTAGATTAAAAAACATAGCCTACAAAAACAGAAATGTTGCCAAAACCAAGAATACAACATACACACTTGTTCTTATCAACAAATAATGTTTTTTGTTGTTTTTGTATGCTCTCAACCAATTTGTATCCAGACAAAGTTATGTTTCATTATCTGGGTAAAAATGTTGTAATTTGAACATTCAGTTTAGACTTCCATCAGGCAGAACTTAAGAGTACATACCAGTATTTACCAAACTTTTGTTACCCATTTCCCCCAAATAAAAATGGTTTCTTATACACCCCCCTTTCATTTATTTTTAATGAGTGAAAGAGTGAGTTAAGTGACAAGATATAACACACAGATACATATTAAAACGCTGTATGTGTTGTAGTAATTACTTATTAGTTTTGTTAATAAAAATATATTAAAATGTTTCATTTTGCATTATTGCACTACTGACTCTACCATAATTGCTCACCCCCCCCAAAGAGATAATTTGTGCCCTCCTGGAGGGGCATGCCCGACACTTTGGGAAATGCTGGGTTAGGCCATATACTGAACTTAAATATGTGTTTAATAAATGAGTGTCATTCCAAATAAGGGGCATTACTTATTATAGATTTATGTAGCCAATATCCTCACAAACTTCGTGTTAAAGGTTCTCCACAATATATTATGTAATTTTTTTGCCACAGCACACACAAGTTATCTGACAATTGACTAATTTTTCAAACACCAGTAAAAATCGTTTTCAGTTATAATTCCAACATTTGCCTAATGTGAGCACAAGATGGCTAAAAATAATTTAAATCTATGAGGGAAACTATTGAAATGATAATGAAAGCATAATACCATTTATGCAAGATTTTTAGATAAAAATGTATTGAAAAATAACAAAAACTTTATAATCTTATCTTTGAATTACACACGTAATTGTTTAGATGGTCCAGAATTATTTCTTATCTAGTATGTATTATATATCACATTTATCCTCAGTGACTATGTAAACATGATATGTAATGTGCAGCTAAATCTCTATTTTGGTAAAACATCACATAATTTATCAATCATCATCAACATTTACTATTTATTAAAGCAGTACATATTTTTCATTGTAACTACATGAAATGCATTTGAAAATATTTCTAATGCATAAAATAACAAGTTAATGACATTTTCAATTAACTTGCTCAGAAATATTTATAGTAGCATATATTTTCACAGCAGGCTTAATATTTTCCTCAGTGGAAATACTGTAAACAATAACACATACATTTCTTACACAACTTACCTTATAATTTATATTGAAGATTTGATGTCTAAACCATGATGAGTATAATTTCAAACAAAAATAGCAAGTGGTAGGGCTCGTAGGAGTACGTACAATAAAAGGTATTTCTGTTTACTTTATTTACCTTAAAGTTAAACACAGTATCTGGGGGCATGGACGTAAACTCTTTAATGGCATCACCAATTAGTGACAGCTTTTTAAACTGAGCAGACGATTGTGGTAAATAGTTTATTTCTTCGCCTACCATACTGATGATAACGTGATAGATTAAGCACTTATAGTACTAGGTAGACTGTTTTTATAGCCTAGAACAGGGGTTTCCAAACTGTGTTGCGTCAAGTTGCCAGGGGTGTCGCGAGAGTTTCACCAAACGAAGAATAAATATGAACATAAAAAAACTCTGCAAAAAAATATTTCATGTGGCAGCAGGGATCTCACGAAAATTAAGGTTAGTAGGCTAGGATGTCGTCGCTGAAAAAAAACACTTTGGAACCAATGGGCTAGAATATGGAAGCTGAGAATTCCTATCCCTATCAATATCAGTAATATTACTAGTAAGACAGAACAGCAATACAGTTTTAGCGATTAAGAAAACCTCCAAGTCTACCAGTAGCCAAGTGGTAATGACTAGTACTATGAGAGAAAAAAAATTGCATTTCTATCGTGTTTTTTGTTTGAGGTTAAGTTCATCATTTTTTAATAAGTTGATTGAAAATGTCATTAACTTGTTATTTTATACAATTAGAAATATTTCCAAATACATTTCATGTAGTTACAATGAGAAATATTCATAGCTATAATAATTAGTAAGTACTGCCGATGATTGTAAAATTAGGGCAATGCGGTAAAGTTTTGACCTTAGGATTTACCAAAAGGGACAGAATTCTGAACTCTATACTCAACTGTGTGTGTAATCCAAATACTAACGAGTTTTGGTTATTTTTCAAAACATTTCCCCCTAAAAAATCATGCACAATTAGTGATATGCTTTCGTTTATCATTTCAATAGCTTTCTTAATGCTGTTACGACAG